AGTAGAGACACTACATACTGATATACACCTGAACATCAGCAGGAGAGGACTCTTTAAAGTAGAGACACTACATACTGATATACACCTGAACATCAGCAGGAGAGGACTCCACTACATACTGTTAAATAGATCTTTCTACACTGATATACACCTGAACATCAGCAGAGAGGACTCTTTAAAGTAGAGACACTACATACTGATATACACCTGAACATCAGCAGGAGAGGACTCTTTAAAGTAGAGACACTACTGATATACACAATTTAGTGTTTTCACAAAAACTTAAACATTTATTTCTTTTTAACAAGCTCTGAAAATAAATTGATAAGTCGCTCGTTCTGCTCATAGAGCGCTGCATCGCGGGCCTCCTCCTTCACCAACTGCTTTTGGAGGAAGGCCAAAACGCTGTTACTTGGCCTTTTAGGAGGTGGTTGGGAGCTGGTGGAGGTCACGGACTCCTCCTCACTGCTGAGGGACACTTGGGAAGGCCCTTCTCCAGCAGAGGTGGAGGCCTCAGCAGCAGTCTAGCCATGGCTTGACAACGGGCATGAGGCAACTAGGGTGGGAGGCTGAATTGATGGCCTTCCCCCAATTGCCTCATGCATGGCCTCAAACCATGGCCAGGTAGCTGCTGAGGCTTCTCCCCCGTCTGTTCCTGTCCCAGTTGGGGGATCCTTTAACTCCTATTGACACCACAGAGAACAGACTGTTATTTAAAGGGCAGTGGAGGCAAAATGCACAGCTAAAGACAAATTAAACAAATTCTAAATGTGTCATTGCTTACACCTTAAATGTTAAAGTGTAAACAACTAAGCAAATTCACATTTTAAAATAGGAGGCTGGGGTCGCCAGTTGAAGTCTGTATCATAATATCTACAAACACTAACCCCCCACAGCGCGCAGCCATGTGATTTGCCTTACCTTGTATTCTGTGATCAGGTTGTCCCATTTGTTTGATGTCATAGCCCCACTGCCCCATCTGAACACACACCCACACAACGAGACCAGTCAAGTCCATTTGAGATGATGTACTCATCTAAAACTTGGAAAATGTCTCTTCATGTGGTCCTACCTTCCAGTGCTTTGTAAAATACTATTTCCTCAACAAAGTTGTCTTCTGAAATAAATCTGATGTATGCAAGCAATTCTGCGACATTTGCTACATCCGTGCTCTCATCCAGCTGCAGAGCGAAACATTCACTCGCTCTCACTTGCTCCAAAAGCTGAGCAGATACTCAGTTTCACTCTCAGTAGTTCGATTCTGATTGGCTTGAAGGGCGGTCGTGTGATTAAAAAACTAAAAATATTAAAAGATTGGCTTCAAAGGACACATAGATTGATAGATATGCAGTTATTAATAACAACTATTAAAACAAATCCTGTTTCCCTCAAACTTTGCGTGACCCCCCTGGTAACCCCTGGCGGCCCCAAGGGGGTCGGGGCCCCCACTTTGAAAAACAATGCTATAGTACACCTATATTTGTCAAATCAGCATTTGGAACAGGTGCTCCATCTTAACCCTTGCAAGGGTTTCAGCATCTGTGACTGAGATAAATACATCAGATTAGGCTTGAATGGAACAACGCTGGAAATGAAAGCATTTAGGCAAGTTATGGTTTAAGAATGTAAAAGCTTAAGAAAGCAGCGGTAATTTACATGATCTTCGTGTGTCTGTCATAATGACGATCGTGTTTTCCGTGAGCGACCGAATATTCTCTCGCTGTAAAGGCTGCGGCCGCGAGGCATTGTGGGGCAGCATTTTACAGTGTTTCCTAAGCTAAAGGAGGTGATAAAGGAAGTTTGAAGCCTCCTTTCCTATCAGATTCTAGAGAATTCGAACGGCTCTTATCTTGGCTGCCACTGAGGTACTTCTGGGTCCTTTCACTCCGTTAGGAAGGTTCAAAAAGCTTTATTAGAAGGACCATAATGACACAGTTGTAGTTCTTATTTTCGACCACATGATGGCGACAAATCACTGCGTATATTTCCCAGTGTGGCGCCTTTACCAGATTTAAACGTCTATTCATATTTATTCTGCAGGAAATGTACCTTATTGTCATGTTTTGACTTGACCTACTTTGCTGTATTCCTCTACACCACCTAATGTTAGAGATACTATGCTGATAGCCTTTTTTATTACACTATAATGGTTGGATTCATTTTGTTATATTTTGTTTTTTTAGGTTATTGATAAAAACCACGCCCCTTAACTGTGATATAATGGCCACATACCACGGCCTGTCGTGAGCTATTGCTTAAATATATAACAATGAATTAAGGGTTATCTATCCTTATTTTTATAGCACCTCTCATGCAAAAAAGGTGCTTCCAAAACAAAAAACAAGAATAAAAACAATACAATTAAATATATTAAGGATTAAATAAGAATTGAATAAAAAATATATTAAATTCTAGTAAATAATATGTAATTAAAACCCATATTTTGGTACTTTAACTAAATATTGATGCATGTATGAACTTAAGTACCATTTTAAATACTTATGAAATCGTATTTATTGCATGTTTTATTGCTATTTTACCTAATTAACATCTGCATATTCCCCACCACAGATAGCATGTATTTAAAGTGGGAGATAGATATTGGGGAGAAAGACAGAAAACCAAGCGAGACATTTTCCACAAGAGAAAACATTTATTCCTCAAAACCCCCGAGGCGTCATTTCATTCAAAATAATAATAACATTAAGAAGGCAAACATTACACCGCGGGTTTATTTAAGGCACAGGATCGATAACAGGTATTTAAAACGTCCAACGGTACAAACCTCACAACTTAACTCAAGTCCTCTTCAAACGGCTGCTCACATTATTCACGATTGGTTCGAACGCCAATCAAAACACTTATTCAAGTATCCTTCATTTCACACTTTAGCACTTGTTCATAGCCCTAAAATGCCCCTTCACTTACATCCTCGTAAAATATACAGTGCAATCATTTTACTCTTTGCATATGTGCATTCCTTGTGTATAATCAAGCATAAATAACAACAATACGGAGGACGACCACCGTACAATTAGAGGTAAACAATCAAATAACACTGCATGACAAAAGAAATATCGCTACGTTTGTGTTTGTTTCCGTTCCTTTGGTACGAGTTCTCAAACAGAATTGAACAAATGGGACAGACGGTAATAACCAGGTTGACATATTTCAATATGATGCCACAAAGCCCCTGCAAATCATTATATTATCAACTTCTTATTTACATAAAACACCGGAGACAAGGCAGTTAGTGAGTTTCAAACGCATCGCAATCTGTACCAGGATGAGGATGAGATGGGAGATGTTGTTGCATGCTGACATGAGTCCTGGGATGAATTGAAAATTGTACATAAATAAATGTGCCCTTATAATAACAAGATGTCTATATTACAGCAGAAACGGGAGAGTCCATTATGAGAGGAGGGGGTCGTGAATACTTCTTAAGCTTCGAGACGACACGCCGTCATCACTCAGATCATACCTGCAAGAGAAAACGTATATTTAATAACAAAAATAAGTTGTTTATTAGCTGAATAGTTCACTCAAAGCTGCAGATTAAGTGAATTACCATTGCGTCCATCCTTTAGAGATATCCTCCCCACTTAAATCTACAAGTACCTGCAATTTAAAGCAAAAGATTTGAAGTTTTAAGAGTGTTTAAAAGTCGTTTTAATTCAGGAGAAGTTCGTTTAATAAGAGTTACCTTTCCCAGAAAGCCTTTGTGTTTGGACAGGATGCTTCCTCCGTTCTTCACGGCTACATCAAGAGTCCTCCTGTGGAGCTCCACCATAGAAACACTGAACTCAAATCTGCAAAACAAGATCAAAAAAGCTCCATATTATCAACCTTTCAAGCTCTTTAAAGAGTCCTTGATGTTCAGGTGTATGTCAGTAAGTAGTGTCTCTACTTTAAAGAGTCCTCTCCTGCTGATGTTCAGGTGTATATCAGTATGTAGTGTCTCTACTTTAAAGAGTCCTCTCCTGCTGATGTTCAGGTGTATATCAGTATGTAGTGTCTCTACTTTAAAGATCCTCTCCTATCCTCTCCTGCTGATGTTCAGGTGTATATCAGTATGTAGTGTCTCTACTTTAAAGAGTCCTCTCCTGCTGATGTTCAGGTGTATATCAGTATGTAGTGTCTCTACTTTAAAGAGTCCTCTCCTGCTGATGTTCCTCTCCTGCTGATGTTCAGGTGTATATCAGTATGTAGTGTCTCTACTTTAAAGAGTCCTCTCCTGCTGATGTTCAGGTGTATATCAGTATGTAGTGTATTCAGTATGAGTGTCTTACTTTTAAAGTAGAGACACTACATACTGATATACACCTGAACATCAGCAGGAGAGGACTCTTTAAAGTAGAGACACTACATACTGATATACACCTGAACATCAGCAGGAGAGGACTCTTTAAAATAGAGTCACTACATACTGACATACACCTGAACATCAGCAGGAGAGGACTCTTTAAAGTAGAGACACTACATACTGATATACACCTGAACATCAGC